CACCCATATGTTTCAGCCTAACAGCAGTTTACAGGCAGTTCTAATGTGATGAGTTTCCACTGAAGCAAAGAACACTGATTTACAAATTATATAGAACACAAAGAGGAAAGACAATGATAATAATTATTCATATTAATACATTTTATTAAACATTTTGCTCCAGCAGTTTTGAAAACAATTCTTGCATTTATTCGTGATAACCGCCATTATTCTTTCCTTTGATTAGTGAATGAAATCCCCCCCAATTTATGTAACAAGTTCTTTGTTTCTTTGCACTTCCTTTTGAAAAAACTTGTTTTGTTGTTTAATTATCAGTTCTGGAGTCGCACACTACTCGAGGATGAATTCTCGGCATGATTCATTGGGCAGCAATTCTTGTAAAATCAGGCCTAGCGTGCCTGTTTCCAGAAAATGTAAGAACTTTATGGGTTATAGGTTTTATGAAAGCCAGCATGCAAAAAAAAAAAAAAAAAAAAAAGGAGGAGGGGTGGATTAATCTGAGGATTAACACCATACTTTAAGATAAATCTTTTTTTAATATGAAACCTCATCCCCACTTATTGCGGCCAATCATTCATTTTTGTGCACTTCAGATTACATATTGTGCATTTCTTCGGCACTAAGAACACAGCTTTTTTGTTTTTGACAATCTCCACTCCACAAATGCATTCTTCATGCTGTAAAACTCAGAACAATGGATGAGCACATACTGTAGCTGTGCACATTAATGCTTCTGTAAATGAAAAGAACAGATAAGTGGAGCTTGGCTGCCCCCTCCCATCCATGTCATCCCTCTGTCTATGTATCCTGCCCCCCCATGGAAAAAATAAGGCATGAAAAAAACAAAACAATAAAAAGCTAACCAAATCTCTGCTCGTCATCGTTAAATCCTCGCTGATCAGAATGTGCCAGACCCAAACTGACAAACATCATAGTCTGTCTCCAATCCCTAATTGACTGCACAAGGATTGGTCACACTTTTTAAGTAGCGTTTCGTAATGGATTTCCATGTTGGTTGCGCTTTTAACTGGCGCTGCGAATGAAAGGCAAAATGTCTCTTTATTATCAAAAACAACAGTGTTTTTTTCTCCCCTCCCTCTCTGTTTTTTGTTGAAAAGATTATATTTGTATTTTTCTCCATGTTTGTATTTATTTTTTTTTTTTTTTATTTTTTGCAAGGTCAACCCCGGCTGACAGTTGACAAACGATCTCAAGATGGCCACATCATCTGTCCTGTAATTTTTTGGGGGAGAAAACGATAAGATGAATGCCATGTATCATGTTTTTTTTTTTTTTCTCCATCTCTTTCCCTCACTCGATTTTACACTCAGATGTCTTATCGGCTTACGAAAAGAACTGGTAAGCAGGTGAAACAGCGATTTTGTTCACGCATGAATGTTGTCGCCGCTCTCGCACAGGCCCGAGACCAGTTCAAATCTCTCCGATCTGGACTTATCCTGTTTCTGCATCTTGGCACGGTGCAGGGATTCAGTATTATAGACAAGCTGGTCATCAGATGGGAGTTGGGTTTATTTCTGTGTCTTTTCTATCCCCCCCCCCCCCCCCCCCCAACCACCTCCGTCCTCCCTCCCCTCTTGCTGGCGTCTCATCCAAGTTATGTCTCATTTTTTTTCTACTGGACAGCTCCGACAGAATGCCCGAGAACTCGATGTCCTTGAGAACAGAACAACTTTTCAGTCTAATACTTTGATTGATTTTTCCCCCCCTGTTGTTGTTGTTCTCCTGTTTTCTCTGACCGTCGTCTTCCTCATTTTTCTCTTCCTGAGATCATTATTCGTATTTATGCCAAATCGTTAGGGAAAGGGGGGTGGGGGTGAGATGCTTCAACTTCAACAATGACGGCCACTTTGACAAAACACAGAGTATGTTTTTAATTACCTGGATTTTTTAATGTTGTTGTCATCTCACAGAATATACTGCTCTTGTTCTGATGTTCCTATTAAGTTCTCATTTGAATGCCTGCTCTCTGCAGGAAGTCCAACGCCCCTCCCCTCCCCACCCCACATCACTTCCAGCAGCCCTCCAGTGTTCACCATTTCTAGTTTTTCATTATGCCTAATTGCATTAAGAGACATATCACAGAGGAGCGAGAGAGAGGTAGAGACGAGGTGTCATCGCTTTCTAAAACACAATTAGGTAACACCTCATCAGGGGCTCTGCCTGCCTGCGGTTGACAGGTGCGTGAATGTTAGCGGCGGCGGCGCACGGTCACTGTGCGTGCTTGACAACTGCTCTTCAAACGCGTGACAGGTGCTTTTCTGAGAGCCCGATCGGCGGCACAATCGATACTCGATGAGGTTTTAGAAGGGGGTCTTTAACGCTAATTAAGCTGTTTCATGTGTGCCTTCCCTCTCTGTTTACCTCAACTTCTTCATCTGACAAAATGAAACGGATGCTCGTTAGTTTGAGAAACAACATTCAGCAACTTTTATCAAAACCGGGAGAACAGCTGAGATGCTGGGAAGCAGTGGTGCAGAAGTTTTGGTTTTTTCCACCTTGTTCTTTTCATTTCTTTTTGTAGAAGAAACATAAACGTACTGCAGAAGCACAGATTGTCATTGTTGAATGTGTTTTTAGTTCATCTAAAACATGACGATGATGATGACCCGAGTGATGATGATGATGATGATGATGATTAATGAGAGTGATGGCAATGATTACACACATACAGGAAGAGTGTTCAGCCATCTGCCTGATTAAAAACTCCTATTTATCATAGTATCATCTCACTCGGCCTGGGCTGAAAAAGATGAAGCGAATACAAAGAAGAGGGGTGGGAAAAAAATAAATATAAGTGCAACATGATCATGTTTGAATCGACACCTTAAGAAGAATTACGTGCGGGGTTCATTATAAAGGTATCCAGCCTTATGCGGCATATTTGCTCTGTGTTTTGCTCTGAATGCACTATTGGATATTGCACCTTAGAGCTGACATGCGGAGACAAAGCCTAGAGAAGAAAAGTAATGATCACATATAAATATCAATATGAAAGTTAGAGTCAGTGCTAAAGAAGACGTATAGCTATTGATGTTTGAATAACAGTAGTGTCAGGCAATGAAGAAGAGAGAGGTGGTAAATAAGCAGCGAAAATATAATGCATTCGTTTTTCAGAAGGACAAAAAAAAAGAGAGAGAGAGAGACAGAAACGGTTAATCGAAAACACTCCAGAGGCATAAGAATCAAGCTGAGGCCGAGATAAAAACATAACCGCTTTCTATGCCTTGTGAACAAAACCATAAATAAATATATAATCAGTTAGTATTATGCAGGTTTGCTCTGAGAGGCATTATCTGTCTGGCGTTGCCTTCTCAAGTAAAAGAACATTTGACAGTTCAAGTCCCTGATGAAAAAAAGGAGAGAGAAAGTTATGACTTCAAAAGTGTTTACTCACCATGTTTTTTAATTTGTCTGGGCATATGCAGTTTATTTGCATTTCAAATACGCATATTTGAAGCAGGTGGTTTAAATGCCAAGATGCGAATTGATGACAATCACCTCTACCATAAGCGTCAAGGGAGCTGTACTCGTGGCTGACATTAAAACTAAACGAACAGCAGCTAAACAAACACATCGAAATAGAACTCTGTTACCAGCCGCCCCGTGCGCACGAAGCCTCCCCCCCTCGCTCGCATCTTCTCAACCCGCACTTGTATTTTAATATTCATGTACATTTAAATATCAGCAGCGTATATAGTGGCTTGCTTGAGTGGAATCAAACCAAGGAGAGAGAGAGAGAGAGAGAGAGAGAGAGAGAGAGAGAGAGCGTAAATACCTCACATTTGGGTGCACATAAATCTATTCATCCGTGTACGGCGTCAAATGCCACCCCCCTCTCCTCCCCCCGTATTGGCCGTCAGTTCCATCGCTTCCTTATTCATTTTTGTAATTTACAGCAAATCCAATAGCTGTCAATCACAAATTAAAAACTCCAAATTTACAACTGGGAGGAAACAGCTGCTTCTACATTTACAGCAAGACCACTCTAAAATATTAAAGACATGTCACCCAGCTCTGTGCAGCCCTACATCTGCGGCCATCTGTTTTCTATTAAAACATTACACCAAAAAACGCTGCTATTTCCATGCTTTTAGATCAGCACAGGAAAGCGAGACTGACAGTGTAAAACCTCCTGACGTGCTTAGCTTTTATCAACGGCGCATTCAAAAGTGTCAGAATAACAGGCTTTGAGTGGCACCCGATGTATTTGCACAAGTCACAGAAGGAGTGGAGGTCACATTTTAAGGGCCTTGCTGACGGCGAACAATGCCGGGATATCTCAAACAAGCCGATCTGCTGCTTTTCTTGTCGTTTTCTCACTTGCTTGGCCCTTCCTCCTGTGAAGCAAAGAGCAGGTGTTGAAAAGAAATACGTTAAACCGGGCGATTCGATGACATTTGAGGCATTGCCGCGAGAGAGCGGAAAGGAGAGATTTTGAAAAGCAACGTTGACATATTCTGTTGCGGCGGAGTGGAGAAGAATTACGGTCAGTGTCAAAGGTAAACAATTACAACATTCTGAGTCACTTTTTGGAGTCGGGGCAAAAGAAGATCATTGCTCCCTCTCTAATAGGTAATTTCCTTTGTCTTCAGAGCTGCATTTCACGTTTCCTTCCATGGGGTGGTCCCCTGAAAAAAAGAGAGAGAATGAAAGAAAGAAAAGAACGAAAGTAACGTGTGTTTGGCGCATGCATCAGAATTTCAGATGAGACGTTTTGTTCGCCATCTAGAACTGCCAACACAGAACAGTTTGTTGGTGGTATGTGGAAAGAAAGCCCGTTTGGCAGACAAAAAAGGGAAACTTTTCCATAAACTTCAGTAGTGCATGCAGAATGTTATTGTCTGTTGGAAAATTTGATTTCAGATCGGATTCACAATGATATCTGCCGTTCAAGTTGTTAGTATGTCCGTGTTCTCCCTGCGACAGAGATTCTGTGATTAACAAGCTTGCTGTCTTTTTCTCTCATCCACCATTTAAAGGAAAAAAGCCAGAGCTCCCGCTGTTCCGAGCGACATCTCTCCCCTCGCCGTCGTCTCTTCCTTCCTCTCCTCCTCTTGTCTATGGCAGGAGTCACAGGTGTGTGACAATAATTACACATACACTCAGAAAAATAATGTCATTTCTCTCCATTTAATAAGTTAGCTGTAAAATGCAGAGGGGGAGCGCACAGGGAGAGCAGGCTCAAATCTTATCTGATACCCGGGCCCCTAACTCAATCATATGGCTCTTAAGAACAGGACACGGGCAGCTGGGGCTCACTAATATGCATGCAATATGTGTGTAAAACGATACGCTTTAATTTTGAGCCCACTTTAAGAAGCAACAAAATCTGTTTATACGTGAGACATTTAAAAAGACGGAGGAAAAAAATAAAGCTATTTAACTCCCTCGTTCCCGCCAAGCTGTGACATCTGTTTAGTCTTTTCTTCATCCCTCTGCTCCGAACGCTCAATCCCAGGAAGACGGAGTTTTTAAAAACCCACTTTTCCTGCCTGCTGTTTATGCTAAAACTCAGCGCTTTGAATCTGCGGAAACACAAGTTAAGAAAATGATGATTGCACGTTTATCTCTTTTCCTCTTTTTCGATGAACTTTGCTACTTTCGGATTTCTGTTTTTTTTTTTTTACATCAGAAAGACTGCCGGTATACTGTAATTGTAAATTAAGGACGATAAATAGAACAATAGGTTTTAATAATAATTCTAATTGTATGAGAAAAGGGAAGTCCACACCACGGCTATATCAATAATGTCAGAGAAACGGAATAGTTAGAATCATCATTTCCTCATTGATAAAAACATTGACGGCCCATAAGAATCATTATAGTTTTTCATTCTTGGTGTAAACAGGCTTTTATGCTTGATCTTTCCACCAGATGTGTCCAATATGATTTTTTTTTTTTTTAAAGATTTTGCATGCCTTGTTTTAAGCAAGACTTTTCAGTAAATAAACAGCGCTTTCCTGTCTTTATTTGAAGCAGTGATTATGTACAAGAGTCACAGGGCTGGTAATGGATTGGTATCTATTAGATTAACTATGATTCTAACCTAAAATAAAAGCACAGAGTCTAGTTTTAAAAACATCAAATATCAGTTTTACATTGGCCCAGTTTATTTTTACCTTGTGAGGTTTTGACCTTCTCTACTTAATTAAAATCAAACAACAGTTTCATATATCAAATCCAACTGCAGTGTATGCTTATATAAACATAACTTTATTTTGAGTGAGTGTGGATGCTAATTATCATTATAGTTTGATATTTTTTCCCATATACAATTTGAATGGATTTAACACAATTCGTATTTAGAATGACTTTTGAGCGAATAAACAGCGGCTTCCTCCCTTTATTCGAAGCAGCGCTGTCTAATGTACAAGAGGCTGGTAATTTGGTTGGATGAGGCTGTTGGTGTGTATGCATATATATATATATATATATATATATATATATATATATATATATATGTCGCCACTGGGCTCTCCCAGAAAGCAGGAAGTGTGAGGGAGAAGTGGGGCCTTTGGGGGTGAGGAATACAGGGGGAGGAGGAGGAGGAGAAGAAGAGAGAGAGGAAGGGGGTTAAACATCAAAAAGCCTCTGACACATGCTGCCGCTGGCCCTGACCACTCCACAGATGCTTTTGTTCATTGCCTCTCTTTCTCTCTGTCTCTCTCAGTTCCCCCTCACTCTCATTCATTCCCTGTGTCTTTGGTGATACGCGCCGAGTACAGATATCAAAGTCGCACTGTCTGTTAAGACTTCAAACTGGGGGCCCCGTCCGTCAACCCCAATCATATCTGTGCCCCGCTCGCAGACTGGAGTGGAATATTTGATCTGTCCTCTTCAGGAGGATCAACAATCAGACGTGAGGGGGTGGGTTGTTAAGACTCGGACGTTTGGGGAGGGGGGTGAAAACGGCCCACTTCACTGCACTTCAGTCGGACTACAAAGAGTTGAGCCATAGCCGCTAAAGGGATAAAGAGATCTTTGCTCTTCAGGATCTTGCGCCGTTGAGTTTTACCAGCGTTTGACATCTGCTGTGGAGATACAGGCCGTTACTACGTGCCATTTACAGAGTTCTTTTTGTAGTTGTTTTGGTTTGCTTGTACTTTAAGATTCCGCAGTGCAGCTTATAATGGCATCTGATGGCATTATCTCAGGCCTGTCCATCTGTCCATCCAGTTATGACTATTAGTAATCCCAGACATGTGTCACATAGTATACTTAGTTCTTAAATCCCTTGTCTGTGAGATCAGACTGCATAATTACCTATCCCATTAGAGTGGGAGACTCCAGCCCCTGCATACTCACACTGACCCGGCCCAGGCAGGAACAGCTGGAGCGACTTTAAAAGAAATAGTTCACATAAATATGACATTTGTGTCATCATAACCTGTTTGACACAAAACACGTTGTTTTTTTATTGTACAGCTGCTTTTGTCCATGCAACAAAAGTCATTAGATGTACAATAAAACACTGAGGCACTCTTTAAAACATCATCTCCAGAAGAAAGAATGTCATACAAGAGTAAATAATGTCAGAATTTTCATTTTTGAGTCCTTTGAAAATAGTCTGTGTGTATTTCAAAGAGACCATCAATGAAACTTGACATGTCTCAGATTATATGACGAAATCCTTCGACGTGTGCCATTATCCTTGAGAGCAATGCCAGCCTGTGATTGGCTCTCTGTCCATCAGCAGAGATGTTCCATCTTCCTGCACGTGCGGAGGGCTTCAGTTTCTGCCCTTCCGTCCAGCGCTGCAGAGGGCACAGAGTGTGTACTAGAGACCAGCCCTTCCACACTAACTCTTTTTCCATTCCTAATCACCCCATTTAAAGCCAGAGGTCAGAGGCCTGTCTGACTCACACATACGCACCTGCTGTACTCAGCCCAATATCCCTTAAGAGTGCCTGTCTTTACCCACCTGTGTTTGTGTATGTGTGTTTTTAGACTGTCGATCCCGTATTAGGCTGTGTGTGGAATGGCCTCTTGCATCAGTAATTGGTGTTGTTCTCTATACACTGTAAAAAAAAATATTGTTGGTTTAACTTATAAAAGTAAGTAACCTGGTTGCCTTAAAATTTTAAGTTGATTGAACTGGAAAAAAAATAGTTAATACAATGAAGGAGATTAATTTAATCATCAGAAACTCAAAATAATATCTTATCTCAACTAAATAAATTATTTAAGTTGATTTGACAAAAGAGAAAATGTTGTGATAACAAATCTTGAAAATATTTTTTTTTTTACAGTGATGGGTTTGATAATTCTCACACCCTCAACGCCAGCTTTACAATATACAGATGAATGACATGTGAAACAAAAAAAGCATATTTTTTGCCGTGTGAGGTTTTGACCTTCTCTGCTTAATACAGCAATTAAATCATAAAATATCTGTCATATATTGGCTTATTATTTAACATTTTTATACCATTGTGGTAAAAAAAAAAAATGTTTGCAAATTATTTTACTGACTAGACTAAAAACACCATGTAACAATTTTGTCTTATTTTTGGTTAAATATGCAACTCTGTTAAATATATAGCATATTTTTGATGTTGTTTCATATTTATATGGAATTTAGTTTTTGTTTAGTCAATATTTTTCCTAGAAAATTTCAGGAATTATAAATAGGTTTAATATGATTTTTTTATTGGTAATATTTTTTTAATGCAAACCTTATATTAAATGAACAGAAAATAAAACAGCTCATATTATAAACAATTTGACCTCCTAAAGTTTGAACATCAACATTTTCTAAAAGTAAAACACCTTCTTTAAATGCTCTTTATAAAATTGTTCCATCTATTGTTGATCTGATAATCTTTCTAACTTGGGATGTCAGTGGACGACAGTATGATTATACGGTATATTCCTATCATAAGTCCAGTCTGTGTACTGAAAACACAGTCTCTGATGAGCATATTTACTGTATATATTTCACTATATGGGCTTTGATTATGCACAGTGGGCACCTAATTAACAGTGGGATGTAGACACACGCAAACACCATCAGAGACAGAAGGAGAGAGAGATAGAGAGGTGGACACATAGAAGAGAGAATGAGAGGAAATGTTCAGGTCATATCATACTTTTTGGCTGCAATATATAGAGCACAAAAAGGGAAAAAGGCAGGACCAGTTATCTTCCGATTTCTCCCCAAGCCCTGTGACGCGGCTAAGTGAGCCTCAACTGACCAGAAATGATTTGCCTCTGTCTGTTAAACACGTAATGGAGTCATTTAACTAGTCAAATTAGAAGCTGCAGAGATGCCGCATGCTTCATTACTGGGTTCCAATGGGCACCATTTTACATTTACGTCAGGAATGATTTCAGGGCAAATTAATGTTTTTATTGTCTTACACAAATAGACCCCCCCAAGTCATAAAAGAGCAGCTCCCCCTACAGGTCACTCAACATAACTGTGTGGAACATGCAGAGGAAAGTGTGAAATTCTCGGGTGCATTTGATATTCTTTTAAGCAGCTTAACAGTTCACGTAGATGTAAGTTTGAACACTTTAAGATTTATATGTAACTGACCTTAAAGCATTAATTGATCAACGTAAATAGTAACGTAATGGAAAGCCAGTGTGCAGAGACGTAGTATGGTGTGGGGGACAGACCTCTGGACCTCGTTAGAGGATTTGGACATTTGTGATTGCAGACGAGACCCAGGCCTACTCGGCCCAGCCCCAGTGTTGTTTGATGCGTGTGGAGTTCTGTTCAATATTTGTCTTCCTGTGTATGGAGGCAGGGTGGTGGGTGTTACCACAGAGTCATTTGTCCAGTACTGACACAGTGTTTAAAATGGCTTTTGCGAGATTTTTTTTTTCTTTCCCTTTTTGATTATTTCTGACGTGTTATTTTGGGTATGGTTTTGCTATGGACTTTATATAATGAATACAAACATACCCAGACTGTTTATCTTCATCAAGAACAAAGCAGATTTGTATACCAGAACTAGTTTCATTTTTCATAGCGTGTGCAGGTTGAGTAATAGTTTTCCTTCATCCATGTCGCAATGCTGAAAAGGCCGTAATGGAATTGTAATAAAACGTCTTTTTTCTTCTTCTATCCG